TTAACACCCCAAATATTATAACATTTTTAACAAGGTGTTACCAAGAAAGGTATGCTACTGATGAGTTTTAATGAACATATAAAAATTCATTTTAAGTGTATGCAAAGTATTATTCTTTTTAAAAAGTTCATGCCATAAAACTTTAAAATATAGGCTGGACGTGGTGGTTCATCCCTGTAATCCCAGCACTTCGGGAGGCCGAGGCGGGTGGATCACTTGAGGTCAGGAGTTTGAGACCAACCTGGCCAATATGGTGGTAACCCCATCTCTACTAAAAATATGAAAATTAGCCAGGCATGTTGGTGCATGCCTGTAGTCCCAGCCTGAATAGGAGGCTGAGACAGGAGAATTGCTTGAACCCTGGAGGCGGAGATTGCAGTAAGCTGAGATCGTGCCAATGCACTCTAGCCTGGGCGACAGAGTGAGACTTTGTATCAAAAAAAAAAAAAAGAAAAGAAAAAAAATTGGCCTCTTGGTAGAATCATGGAACACAAGATCAGGAAGGGCTCCTAGAGGCCATGCCATATAGTTCTTTCATTTGCAGATAAAGAAAAGCTTAAAAGATTTGCCTAAAGCACATACAAGCCAAGATCAGGACATGGATTCTAATCGATTCTAGAACTCTCAATCCAGGGCTCTTTCCTCTATATGTAGCTTAATTGTTTTCAAAGAATGTAACAAAGTTGCTACTGAATTGATTATTCCTTGTGTAATCATTGTGAATTATGATTTAGTGGTATATAATAAAATTTTACATTCTTCTCTTATCCATCCAATAGTCATCCATTCATTCAGAAACTGCTATTGACCACTAGTTATCCGTGAGGCAGTTTGCTATAGCACGACAAAGAGGAAAAGGAACTGGTTTCTTGCTTTTAAGAAATGTATAATTTAGTTACGTGGTAGATTACTCTTTATCACAATAACAGGTCATCAGAATTAGTTAGCCAGTGTTATTTCTGTATTTATTCATAGTTTTAGTAATTAACTTTGGTTAGCTTTCTTTCTTGTTAGCTCTAGTTTCACTAATGAAAATAATGGAGCTTTGTAGTACAGAAAATTACAATGTAGGACCCAGGGATCGGTAAACACACATTTTAAAACTTAGTATTATGTAAATTAAAAAAGAAAAGAAAAAATAGATATAGCAATTCTATTTTTATTAAAATAGTACATTTTTCATTAAATTTTTGGAATACTTTTTATAACTATTTTTATAATTTTAATTATTTTATTAATGCATGGAAGAGGATAAATATATATTCTGCTGGTGACAAAGAAATTTTACCTTTTACTTTTAAGGAATGTTATCATGACACTTAGTTTGACTTAGATGTTTACTAATTTAATGTAAAATTCGTAAGTAACTATTTTGAATAATTTGGTATATTTCAGACTCCTCTGAGATACACAAAGACATTATTGCTTCCAGTTGTTATGGTGATTACATGTTTTATCTTTAAAAAGGTATTTTTAAACCAATTATTATTTGTTTTTGGCATCAATATAAGGACTATAATAATGCAAATTGCTCAGAATTCCATGTTATTTTTAGGATGAATTCTTTCTCTCAAAGTTTGTTTTTTATTTAGATATCTCATTATTGATCTTTTTATAAAAAGCCATGATAAAAGGTATTCTTATTTTTTCTTTCAAAAGATACATACCAGTCACCAGCTGTGTATCAAGGACTACATTAACATTGTAGGTACACCTGGACAAATAAAATGTGGCCACTCCTGTCTTGGAACTTACAGTCCTGGATTACTGGGGATGGGGGTGCAAACATGAAGCAAATAATCGTACAAATGTCTAAAGAATTAAAATTTTTATAGGTGCTATGAAAGAAAAGTCCAGTGACAACAACATTAATGTCCTTCAAATACAAAGCACGGTGAAGTCTTGATCTATTTTGAGTGGGCCTGCGTAGAAGAAATTTGTATAGCTAATTAAAAAATATTTTTCTACATGTTCACTGTTTCCATGACAGAAGAAAATAATATCTCAATAAAAGAAATAATCTTTAAAATACCAGTGGCAGGTTTTCTTGGTCTGGGTAGAGTTTATCTAAAAGCATGGTTAAAGACAGTGGGGTTTTATTTATTTATTTATTTTTTTAGCAGTCTTGAGCCATCTTTATTTATATTATTTACAAGCTGTCTTGTCTTAAGCCAGTATGTATTTATTTTATACTTTTAAGCAGATAACAATAATGTGGTTTCCCTACCACTATACCAGTTGTATTCTTGTTGAAAGGAGTTTTCTGTATTTAAAGTCAAATTGCATATCTTCCCTATGTAGTTTTATTTGCCACACTTCTCACTCCTTTATTTACACATAGATGTGAATAATTTAAGAGTGAGAAAGGTATCTCCCTTGACATCTCTGTTGTTTTACCCTTGATCCAGTTCCCTGGGGACCATGTGGAAGGTCAGGATAAAGGAAACAAGGAGGAATGAGTAAAATGTGAGCAGGTTTACTGCCCTGCATCCTTTCGGCCCATGCTGGCTTAGAATGAAGATTTTCTCTACTGACCTGTTTCTTTTCCATCAAGGCAAAATGTCAAGTTATTCTTATAAGGCTCCACTTAGAGAGGCCAATGCACGAATTAACTATTCAGCGAAGAGTCAGCCAATGTGAGAGAAACTGATAGGTAGATCCGCAACTGCTATATTTAAAAAAATTAAGATCCAAGACTTATAAATACATTACTAGTCTCCAAACACACCACATCCTGAACTATGCATGTGCACTAGCAGGGGCATGTGTGTATACATACACATCCACACATCCCTGCAGCCACCCAAGTTTCATACACACACACACGCGCACACGCACACGCACACGCACACGCACACATACATCCCTGCAGCCGCCCAAGTTTCATACACACACACACACACACAAATATCCCTGCAGCTAGCCAAGTTTCATATACACATACACAAATGTGCACACAAACACTCATCCTTGCAGCAAGCCAAGTTTCATACAGTACAACACCACCACGCTACACACACACCACAGCACACTAATCCCTGTAGGCCTGGCAGTTTCCTACACACCCGACACACCACACCACCACACACACACACCACCTCTGTCTCTTCTTCTCCTCCATTTCACGCCCCACCACGTTCAACCATCCTTCCTTTCTGCTTTCTTATAAAATCCGTCAGTCTTTATTTTCCTATTGTGGCTTATTTTTCACCCGAAGGGCTACTTTGATGGTCATTTAGTTTCAGATCATGTCGAAGTCACTTCTCGGAAGGAGAAAAGGAAGGTGTGTGTAGTATGACCATCCCATTCCTGAGGACTCCCTTAAACATTAAAAAATACTTCTTTCCTTGGCGGAGTGTTTACATTAATGAATCAGAACATTTTAAATATTGCAGTATTCCTTAGAAAAGTTTCATTGATTTGATTCTATTCACAGACTATTCGTGATATTTCGTGTGTTTTAGCTACAAACACTTATCTAAGGTAAATATATCATCATTGTTTTTAAAATATACTGTATTCAATTATTAAATAACTTACTGTAACATTAATTTTTCAAATGAATATGCATTAAACTTTAGCATTATGATTAAGAAAGGAGATATGAACCAAACGTAAATGTTTTCTTTAAAATATTACTCTTATGGATTTCTTTTTTTTTTTTTGAGACGGAGTCTCACTCTGTGGCCCAGGCTGGAGTGCAGTGGCGCGATTTCGGCTCACTGCAAGCTCCGCCTCCCGGGTTCACGCCATTCTCCTGCCTCAGCCTCCTGAGTAGCTGGGACTACAGGCACCCGCCACCACGCCTGGCTAATTTTTTTTTTTTTTTTTGTATTTTAGTAGAGACGGGGTTTCACCGTGTTAACCAGGATGATCTGGATCTCCTGACTGTCTCAACCTCCCAAAGTGCTGGGATTACAGGCGTGAGCCACCGTGCCCAGCCTCTTACAGATTTCTTATATGTATTTGGACTTGTTTTGGAGATATTTATATTTGTGAACTAACTCAAAGTTTAAATTGATAAATTATAATATATCATTAGAATTTAAAGTCAGTAAGCTAAAGATTTATTTTTGGAATTCCTCTCTCGCTCTGTCTCTCCCTCCCTCCCTCCCTTCCTGCCTGCCTTCCTTTTCTTTCCCTTTCCCTTTCCTTTCCTTTCTTCTTTTCTTTCTTTTGACAGAGTCTTGGTCTGTCACCCAGGCTGGAGTGCAGTGGCATGATCTCTGCTCACTGCAGCCTGGACATCCTGGGCTCAAGCGATCATCTCATCTCAGCTCTGCCAAGCAGCTGGGACTACAGGTGTGCATCACCATGCCCAGCTAATTTTTGTATTTTTTTGTAAAGGGGGGTTTCACTATATTGGTCAGGCTTTTCTTTCTTTTTTAACTTTCAGAGGGGGTATAATTGTGTTCCCGAATATTTATGAATTTTCTTCTAAACTTATTGTTAAAACTATTTATTGTAGAACATTTTTGGATGGTTTTAGTAATGTCACTAGCATAAGCAGATGCCAGCAAAATGTATTGTATCAGTCACACATAAGTAAATTGCTACAGGACTCAAGAAGTAAATTGTGAAGAAAATTTCCTTCTGAGGGAAATATCTCAAATGACATGTTTTTTAATGTTCAACTTTTATTTTAGATACAGGGGGCACATGTACAGGCTTGTTACATGGGTATATTGTACCCAGGTAGTGAACATAGTAGTAGTTTTCAAGTTACATTTTATATTTGTAAGTAGAATATTTGATTTTATTTTGTGACTTCTACTTTATAGAATCGTTTTAGATTTATAGAAAAATTGTGAAGACAGTAGAAAGAATTTCCCTGAACCCCATCCTCCATGCTTGTATTTTTAATAAACCAGCTGTGTATGGTTGTCAGAAGAGCTAATTAAGCTGTTAGGTGCATCTGTTGAAATTGTTTCCAAAATAAAGGGGATAATAGACCCATTCTATATTGTTCTGGACAGATGGAGCCCAGGGAAATGTGTCTTGGCATTCTAAAAAAGAATGAATGGCAAACCCTGGACACTATTCCCATAAGGAGTGCATGAAGGGACTTGGGATATTTAACTGGATAATAGAAGATTGAAGGGTGTGTGGCAACTGTCTTCATATATTGCAGAGGGTGTAATGTGGAAGCGACAGCTCGCAGAGGCCAGTGGATGGAAGATAATTACTCAGAATATGGAAGTCTTATGTATTGATTACATATTTGAAAGTGACAGGCCTGTTGTGTATGGGCAGAGGGTTCTGGGTTAAATTGCAAAAATAATAATAGCAGGGGCTATTAGTAATACATTCTGAAAAACCAGTGTATCAAAAAGAGAGGGAATACTCCCTTCTCTTAGATCTGCTCCTCCAGGTGCTGACTGTAAGTAGCTTTGTATGTTTTATTTTAGAAAACACATATAGAAACACAGTATTTTTAAAAAATAGAATTGTAGTATTCTTATCTGCAGCTTGTTACTTGTATTTAATAGTGTGTCTTGGGCCTCTGCCTTCATCTTCATTATACTTTATAATGGTCTTAGGATTTTATTGTTGACCATCATGTGTGACTGCCATGTGGTTAGCCTTTCCCATATCAATGAAAGTTTAGAATATATATAACTTTTGTCATAAAAACCAATGTTTTGAAGATTGAACATCCTGGTTCCTGTATCTTGGTACACTTATTCTACGTATTTCTATAGTATAAAATATTTGAATTTGGACTGCTGATTATGAGGCTTGCATATGTTAGAATTTGATAAATACTGAGAAATAATAATGAGGAGAGTGTCCATTTCCCTGCACCTCCACCAACATTGTTATCAAGCTTCTAATTTTTTCTGATAGGAAAAAAAAGTTCATTTTATTGTATAAATTCTTTGTCAGTGAAGTTTTGCAGCTTTTCATGTGTTTGTTTACTATGTTTCTTTTTGACCTTTAAAAGTTGTTTTGTGGGTTGTTTTTTTTTTTTCAGTCTTGCTGCTGTGTATGCAGTGGCACGATCTCGGCTCACTGCAACCTCCACCTCCTGGATTCAAGCGATTCTCCTGCCCCAGCCTCTGGAGTAGCTGGGAGAACAGGCGCCCATCACCACACCCAGCTAATTTTCGTAGTTTTAGTAGAGACAAGGTTTTTCCATGTTGGCCAGGCTGGTCTCAAACTCCTGACCTCAGGTGATCCGCCCACCTTGGCCTGCCAAAGTGCTGGGATTGCAGGCATGAGCCCCCACGCCCACCTAGCCATGCGTTATGTTTTTGCTTTGTCCATGGACAGTAACCTTTTGTCTCTTATGTGTATTACATAGTTTCTTTTAAGATGTCAACTTATAGTTCATTTATGGTCTCTGCTTTATAGAACTTCTAAATTTCTGTATAATCACAGTGACAAATTTTTTTCTGGGTTCATATGTTGCTTAGAAACTCTTCCCTACGTCAAAAACATTAAAATATGTTTTCAGATTTTCTTTTATAATTTTCTATTACATATAGGTGATTAATTACTCTTGCATTAATTTTGTGGTATAGTGACACAGAGGAGTTTACCTTTTCCCCCTCAAACGAGGTATTGTCCCAACACAGTATTGCATAAATCTTTTTTCCAGTCATTTGAAATGTCAGTTTTTTATCACTTACCAATTCTCATTATACTTGAGTCTGTTTTAGATTGTCTCTTATATTGATCTGTTAGTTTATAGGAAAGCTGTATTACTTACTTTTTTTTTTTTTTTTGCATCACATTTGTAGAGCCACATCACCAAACTTTCTTTCCAGTTCTAATAGTTTTTCTACTGATGCTCTGAATTTCCTAGGCAGGTTATCATTTAATCCACAAATAATATTAACTTTCTAATATTTATATTTCTCTATTTCCTTGTCTTACATATTAGCTAGAACTTTTAGAACAACTTTGAATTGCAGTGATAATGGGCTTGTCCTTACTTTGTTTCTGACTCTAACGTGAAGAATGCTTTTAGTGTCTCACTGTTTCATTTGCTGTTAGTATATAATAGGGAGCCTTCATTTCATTAAGAAAGTTTCCTTTGGGTTTATAGAAGCCAGGATAATTTAAAAAATTAAAAATAGATGTTGAAAGTGTATAATGTATGAACTGTAACTCAATAAAGCAGTAAAAAGTGAATGTTAATTTTTTTAATGGCTTTAAAACTATTTTGGTGATTACTATGTATTTTTTCTCCTTATTAATAACTACACGCATTTTAAAATTTGTGGTAAGAACGCTTAACATGTGATCTACTCTCTTAACAATTTTTTAACTGTGCAATACTGTGTTGTGGACTATAGATGCAACATTCCACAGTCAATCTCTTGAACTTATTCATCTGGCTTAACTGAAGCTTTAAGCCTGTTGATTAGTAACTCCCCATTTCCCCTCATTCCAGCTCCTGGTGACACCATTCCACTCTTTGACTCTATGACGTTGACTATCTATGATGTTGACTATTTGACTATTTTAGGTACCTCATAAAAGTGGAACTGTGCATTATGTATTTTGTGGGATTGGCTTATTTCAGTTAGCATAATGCCTTTCAGGTTCATCCATGCTGTCTCACATTGAAGAATTTCCTTCTTTTTTTAGGCTGAACAATATTCCATTGCTTATGTATGCTGTGTTTTTATTATTCATCTGTTGATGGACATTTAGTCGGTTTCCACATCTTGACTACTATGAATAGCACTGCAGTGAACATGAGAGTGCTAGTATCTTGTTGAGGTTTTGATTTCAACTCTTTTGGATAAATACCTAGAAGTGGGATTACTGGATTTTATGGTAGTTCTACTTTTAATTTTTTAAAGATTTTTTTGGTGAACTTCCATCCTGTATTCCATAGCAGCTGCATCATTTGTAATTCCACCTGTGCAAGGATTTCAATTTCTCTACATTCTTGCCAACACTAATTATCTTTTGTTTTTTGGATAATGTCTATCCTGACATGTACATTAGAGTTGTAATCTTTCTGCTGGTAGAAGGTCTTGCTTCAATGGTGATAGCTTCTGACTGATCAGGTGGCTATGGCAATTTCTTAAAATAAGACAACAATGAAGTTTACCACATTGATTGACTCTTCCTTTCGTGAAAAACTTCTCGGTAGCATACAATGCTGTTTGATAGCATTTTACCCACGATAGAACTACTTTCACAATTGGAGTCAGTCCTCTCAAACCCTGCCACGCTTTATCAACCAATTTTATGTCATATTCTGAATCCTTTGTTTTCATTTCAACAATGTTCACAGCATGTTCACCAGGAGTAGATTCCATCTCAAGAAATCACTCTCTTTGCTTATCCATAATAAGTGACTCCTCATCCATTCAAGTTTTATCGTGAGATTGCAGCAATTCAGCCATGTCTTGAGGCTCCACTTCTAATTCTAGTTCTCTTGCTGTTTCCACCACATCTGCAGTGACTTCCTCTGCTGAAGTCTTGGACCCCTTAGAGTCACCCATGAGGGTTGGAATCATTTTTAATGTTATATGAGAAGAAAACATTCTAAGAAAATAACAGATAAAGTAGAAAATAAGTTGGAATCAACTGCTTCCCATCTCTTATTGATGTTAGTATTTTGACCTTCATCCATGAATCACAAATATCCTTAATGGCATCTAGAATGGTGAATCCTTTCCAGAAGGTTTTCAATTTACCCAAATCCATCAGAGGAATCACTATTTATGACAGCTATAGCCTTATGAAATATATTTCTTAAATAATAAGACTTGAAAGTTGAAATGACTCGTTGATCCAGACTGCTTTCCTGCAGCCTTAATCTCCTTGTCCATCTCTATCAGAACTCTTGGGTGACCAGCTGCATTGTCAATGAGCAATAATATTTTGAAAGGAATCTTTTTTCTGAGAAGTAGGTCTCAAGAGTGGGTTTAAAATATTCAGTAAATCATGCTGTGACAGATGTGCTGTCATCTAGGCTTTGTTGTTCCATTTGTAGAGTAGAGGCAGAGTAGATTTAGCATAATTCTGAAAAAAGGCCTCAGGATTTTCAAAGTGGTAAATGAACATTGGCTTCAACGGAAAGTCGCCAGCTGCGTTAGTCCATAACAGGGTAATTCTGTTTTGGATTTTTCATAAAACCAGCTTTTGGTTTTATTATATTTATGAAGGTTCTCCATTTTATTAATCTCTGCTTATATTTTTAAGTCCTTAGTTTTTCTTTTGGCGCACTTTTGTTGTTTTTCTGTGTTTAAAGTTCACATCATTTATTATCAATCATGATTGTGTCCTAGTAAATACATTTAAAACTTATAACTTTTTCTCTGAAGAAAACTCACACTGCATCCCACGATGTGTGTAGCATTACCATTAATGTTATTTCCATGTAGTCTGTGATTTGAGTTTTGATCATTTAATCCAAAATCATTTAGAAAAATGTCCTAAAATGTCTAACTAGTTTTAGGCCGGGTGTGGTGGCTCATGCCTGTAATCCCAGCACTTTGGGAGGCTGAGGTGGGTGGATCACGAGGTCAGGAGATCGAGACCATCCTGGCCAACACAGCGAAACGCCGTCTCTACTAAAAATACAAAAATTAGCCAGGCGTGGTGGCACGCACCTGTAGTTCCAGCTACTTGGGAGGTTGAGGAAGGAGAATCCCTGGAACCCAGCAGATGGAGGTTGCAGTGAGCCAAGATCGTCACTGCACTCCAGCCTGGCAACAGAGTGAGACTCCGTCTCCAAAATAATAATAATAATAATTTTAAAAAATGTCTAACTAGTTTCTTCTGTTGTATATTTTGCCTTTAAAATTAACTTGCTATTTATTGAGATGGATGTTCAGTTTTAGTAAATGCTCTATGAGGAT